ATGGCAACACAGGCGGCAAAAAAATACCAGGCTTTGCCGATGAACGCGACAAAGTTGCAAAAGCTACAGCTCTTGCAGGACATTATGGCTACTGGGGATGAGGGTTGCAAGCAGTTCTGCAAGGATGAGCTTGCAAAACTGATCAAGCCGAAGGCAGCAACGCCAGCTCCGGCCCCTACCAGTGATGCCGATCCTCCGGCCCCTACCACAACGGGTGCCGATCCTCCGGCCCCTACCACCAGGGGTGCCGATCCTCCGGCCGCTACCACCAGGGGTGCCGATCCTCCGGCCCCTACCACCAGGGGTGCCGTTCCTCCGGCCCCTAATGCCCCGACCTTTGATGATGTCAGTGCGAAGATGGGTTGGTCAAGTCCTGCAACCCCACGCATGGTGGAGGCACCTGGTACGCCATCTCCTGCAACGCCTGGCAGTGCAATCACAACGCCTGGCAGTGCAAAAACAACGCCTGGCAGTGCAAGCGACGGCTTGGTCCAAGGTTCTTCGCCACTCTACAACCGAAAGAACGCCGCCATGTTCTTGAATCGCCTGAAAGGCAACCCAAAGAGGATGCAAGCCTTGCCTGATGACTTGGCAAAGTTGGTGCGGGACGAAGATTCAAAGAGCAAAGCCATCGACTTGATCGTCGCTGCAGGAGGAGACGAAAATGAGCTGGTCGGGCAGTGGACTGCATCGTCCATTTCTGTGGGGACGGACAAGGAAAAGGGAAAGATGAAACCTTTGACGGAACAGGAATTGATCGGCAAGTACGGTGCGGTCAATGCTGCGAAGGTGATGGAGGAAAAAAGGAAGGCTGGTTTGGAGGTTGATGATCCCAATTGTAAAGGGCTGAAGCTTTACTTGCACAACGAGTGGCAGAGGGAATGGACGAGAGGCACAGAAGAACGTTTCTTGCTTGCATTCATACATCGTGCATGCAGTTATGTTCGACTTCAACATTTATGTAGCATTCGTGCATTCATGCGAACGGAATCCGAGGAAGCAGTTTCACTGCTTCCGGAGAAGTTCGTGCGGGTGACGCTGCCAACGTTGCACAAATTCTCAGTGTGCCCCGGCGGGCGCTGACAGGGCCCGGCCAGGATGATGAGGACAATGTGGACATGGAGGAGGACCCAAAGCCACTTCCGAACAAAAAACCAAAGAAAGCCAGGAAAAATGAAGCCAGCGGCAAAGAGAAAGACGAAGACGGTGAAACTGAGCCGGAAGCACCACGAGTGGAGAAACTTTTGCCGCTGGACAAGGCGGCAGACTTAAGGCGAAGGCCAACCACGCTGGCTCGATGCGGAAGCAGTTGAAAGGAGTCAGCTATGCGACTGAATGCCTCAAGGAGATGACCAACTTCGAGCAGGAGGTCCAGTGCCTTGGCTGCATTGATACCTACTAGATTGTTTTATGAGCCTCTGCCCCACAGGGCAGGCTACCCTGGTCTAGCCATATGAACAAGAAGTCTTGACAGACGCTCATGTGGCCCCAACCCAGTACTATACGGCCAAGGGCGATCTACGACCAGGTGGACAAGCTCATCTCTGAGCTGGTCCACGATGATGGGGTTTATCTTCCCACTGCTACCAGATATCTCGATATCGCGAAGCGTTATGAGAGGCCCAGCAAGGTAGCAAACAGCTTGATCCGAGCTGCGAAGGCGACTCCGAAGGATCCAACCGCGCCCAAAGGATCGGCTAAAGCCAAGTCCAAGAAGCGCAAAGCCGCGGAGGGAGCCTAGAAAGAATCTTGGCACCCGGGGTCGGTGCTCAGATGGGCATGTCGTGCTGTTCACGTATATTAGAATATATTAGAATACTGCAAGGTTACTGGTAACAGATCCATCTGGATTTTGCACATCTCATTTTCTTCCAGTGTCCGACACTGATAACGTACAGTTGGTGTAGGGTCCTCGCCCAAGGGCTCGAGGACCCAAGCCAGTGTGAAAGAAATTCCGTGCTGCTTTGCACAAGATGCTCTCGACTTTCAATCCTTGGGGAATCGATCGTCGCTCTGGTGCCAAAAATTGCTTGCTGCAGATGCCCTGACGGGGTTTCACGTGATGGGGTGGAAGGAATGAAAAACATTGTTGCCAGGTACGTGCCCTTGACAGAGTCTGGTCGGCCTGCCTTTACGACACGTCGTCGTGGGATGCTGCTGGGACCGCAATATATGCAATAAGCATAAACACGCCACTGGAGCAAGGACCGCAGATGACTTTGACTCCGCTGGTGCAGCTTTACTGGCCCAGCGCATGGGTGCTGGAGACTCTTGACTTGGATGTATCCAAGCACGTCAGCTATATAGTCCGTGTGCAACACTCTTGGACCTTGCAGCCAGAACACACATTCTGAGGCGATACCTGTGGCCGAAAAAAGCAGAATAGCATCTGCCTTCCGGCGAGATGGGGCATCTGGACTTGCCCTTTCACAAATGGCAAGCAGCGAACGGGAGAGGGATTTCTTCCGCTGGATGAAGTTACCCATCAAGCCCCTGCTGGTGGATTTGCCTGTGTGGAGCAACACCAAAGAACGCAAGGACAAACAACTGATATTTGAGAAAACAGCTTTCTGTCTTCCCAGTGATGTTCTCTGCGAGCTTTGCAAAAGATCACTGGTGGAAACCTGTCTTATTGGACATTCGCACCTCGGCCCGCGCCTGATTGCTTGGTTCATTGTTGGTGCATGTATTGCTCATGGACGCACATTTCCTGCTTTGATATCTCAGGTCAGTAGATGAATGGTGGAAGCAAGAACGGGACCAGGTTTACATACGGGAGATCTCCCGGAACAATCCCAACTACCAGGACATGCTTCCATTACGCTTTCATGAGGATGGTGTACCAACAACTAAGAGCGAAACATGCAACTTCTGGTCTTGGACCACGCCTTTGGCTAGCCGCGGAAGCGAGATCTCTCGCTTCTGTCCCTCGGAAATTTTCGATTAGCAATATTCTTTTAGTTGGACAACAGAGCTAGCTGACCATATACATATATATATATATGTATATGATGGACAACAACAATTAAAGGCATTGTTGGTGTCACGAACAGTCGTGTCGCGCCCGAAACGAGACGCTGCATCGCTGACATCATCGCTTGGGATCTTCGAGCACTGGAACGTGGCGTTTTTTTTTTTTTTTACCACAACGACGTTCCGTGGCCAGCTGGCTCAGCGCGAGCCCAAAAGATTGGCCAAAACATTGGGATCAGAGCATGCTTCTCATATTGGGCTGGAGATATGGAAGCTCATGCAAAATCACACAATCTTCAGAGGCACTATAACAAGCCTTCGATATGCGATTGGTGTCGGGCATCGAGCCGGGACAAACAGCTGACTTTCACAGACTTTTCTTCGTCAGCTCTGTGGCGCTCTACATGCAGCTACCATGAGCCGCTGCCACACCAAGAAGAACGATCTGTTTGGTGCTCAGTCAAGGGCTTCACCAAGCGCCGCCGCCTGTTTGACAGCCTCTAGGTCGCATTAACAGCATTCCTGGGTGGCTTTTTTATGGCTTTTGGTTATGTAGTGCTCGAATACTGTAAGATGCACTGCTCAACCAAGTTATGCACCTCGCCCATCTGTTACATCCGGGACCTTGTGGCTTCCATTCTGGTTGAGACCGTGAGATCGGGCGAGATGGCAGCTTTCTTGCAAGTCGATGGCAGCCCAGATCAGCTTCTTCACAGGTGGACTGCGGAAGCCCAAAGTTTCTGCAAGGATCGTGGCCTGGATTGCTCGATGAAGCCGCTGACGTGGGAAACTTTACATGCCAACAAGAAGGCTATCTACCCTGAGCTCACAAGCCGTATAAAGCAAGTCGGACCAGAAACTTGCTGGCGTTTACCGCTTATTACTGCTGTCAACTGGAAATACTGGTGTCTGGTGACGCACCCTCAGACACGGTGCATTGGTCGAGGTGCAGGGCAACGATGGTATGGTGCTTGGATGCAGCATTGAGTGTTGGGGGAACTGGCAGTAAACCCTTTCTCAAGCCAGAGGAGATTATCGAATCACAATGGTGTTTCGATACGTTCCTTCTGAGTTATGCTCACGCTGCTGCACGATTTCATCGAAAAGGCATCTGCTTGTACAAACTTCGGCCGAAGATGCATTACACGCAGCATTTGGTGGATGAGCTGCGCTGCCACAAGCTCAACTTTTACCATGCTGCGAATTTTTTGGATAAGGATCATATGAAGTTCCTCAAGATTGTTTCGGCCGGCTGCCACGTGACTTCTCAGCCTCGCACCTGGGCAAGACGTTACCTGACGAAACAAGTGTTTCTCTGGCGACGCTTGCCCGGGGCGACGGCGAAGAAGAAGCGCCGCGTCGCCGAAAAAAAAGAGGACGCCGCAGGTCTCTTAAGGGTTTTAGGGTTTAGGGTTTCCAAAGTTGGGGCTTCAGGTTTGGGGGTTGAGGGTTTAGATTTCGGCTTAAGGAAGAACTTGCCACAATGCAACCAAACAACATTCCATAGTCCCGAATCCCGAAGCTTGCAAGTTTAGGTTCCAAGTTTGAAACCGCAAGGGCCAAGGCCTCCCCCAAAAAGGGAGGATGCATTCACATATACACCCCTTAATACCGATATTCCCGAAACCTCTCTTGTTCCCAATCTAGTGCATGCATGGCCTCGGGTGGAGTTGCTCCCCCTTGGCCATCGGGTGGAGGTGCTCCCCCTCGCAACATCCGCCTTGATCCTAAACCCTGGCCAAAGCTTGCACAAACTCCAAATCAAAAGCCTGCAAACAAAAACTGGGTTCCACGCCTGAACTGTTCAAACCCATAACAAAGAATCCTGCATAATGCTGTCAAAAGCACCGAAAGCCAAACCGTGTTTGCAGAGGCTGAAGCCCCGAAAGCCAAGCAGTGTTTGCAGAAGCTGAAGCCCCGAAATCCAAGCAGTGTTTGCAGAAACTGAAGCACCGAAAGCCAAGCTGTGTTTGCAGTCGCAGTGGCAGTTGTAGAATCTCGAGGAACGCTGGTTGTGCTTGGGACTGATTGCTTGAAGGCTTGCACCTGTTGGTCGGGTGTGTGCTTGGCTCTGAAGGCTTGCACCTGTTGGTCGGTTGTGTGCCTGGCTTGATGCATGTGTTGGATGGTGGTTGTGTGCCTGGCTTGATGCATGTGTTGGATGGTGGTTGTGTGCCTGGCTTGATGCATGTGCTGGAGTGTTGGTCGGTCGGTTGGTTGGTTGCGACTGATTGCTTGAAGTGCCGCCCACCGTGAGTTGTAATGGCTGTTGGCGCCTCGCCACGCCGTACGTGTATATGTTTGATTGTGACAGCTAGTCAACAAAGACTCCTGCACAATATGCTTTCTACTAGTACTAGCACTACGAAAACCTACGCAGTGTAACAACCATAACCGGACCATAACCACTATACGTACCGTCCTGGATGCCAGGACTGCATAACCGCTATATTTACCGTCCTGGATGCCAGGACTGCAAAGATCTACTTGCAAAACTGATAAACTATTTATGTGCTGTGTATGCAGAAGCTGAAGCCCCGAAAGCCAAGCAGTGTTTGCAGAAGCTGAAGCACCGAAAGCCCAAGCAGTGTTTGCAGAAGCAGAAGCCCCGAAAGCCCAAGCAGTGTTTGCACAAGCTGAAGCCCCGAAAGCCCAAGCAGTGTTTGCAGAAGCTGAAGCACCGAAAGCCCAAGCAGTGTTTGCAGAAGCTGTAGTAGTAGTAGTAGTAGTAGTAGTAGTAGTAGTAGTAGTAGTAGTGGTAGCAGTAGTAGTAGTAGTAGCAGTAGTAGTAGTAGTAGTAGGTGAAGGTTTGGCTGCTTTGCGCCACCCGTCCGGAGGCAGAGAACGGCCGTTGGCACCTCGCCACGCCACACAAATTCATTAACACCATGTTCGTACGGCCGTTGGCACCTCGCCACGCCACACAAATTCATTAACACCATGTTCGTACGGCCGTTGGCACCTCGCCACGCCACACAAATTCATTAACACCATGTTCGTACAGCCGTTGGCACCTCGCCACGCCACACAAATTCATTAACACCATGTTCGTACGGCCGTTGGCACCTTCACTAACCGCTGGGATCCCGAACCTTTGGATATATAACCGCTAGGATGTGAATTAACCGCTGGGATTAACCGCTGGGACAATTAACCGCTGGGATTAACCGCTGGGACAATTAACCGCTGGGATTAACCGCTGGGACTAACCGCTGGGACGATTAACCGCTGGAATTAACCGCTGGGATTAACCGCTGGGACAATTAACCGCTGGGATTAACCGCTGGGACAATTAACCGCTGGGATTAACCGCTGGGACTAACCGCTGGGACGATTAACCGCTGGAATTAACCGCTGGGACAATTAACCGCTGGGATCATCAAATAACCGCTGGGATGTTGAAATAACCGCTGGTATGTTGAATTAACCGCTGGGATATCAAATAACCGCTGGGATGTTCGATTAACCGCTGGGAGCCCGGGATGGCCTACATCGGTTTGTGTTTAGGTCACGTCGGTTATTAACCGATGGGGGGCTGTCCAGGGGGGGCTGCTCCTTTACCTCTTGGTAGAGGAAGAGATCCCCTGACAGGTCCTCTGCTCCAACAACTCAGAAGAGAGGCCCGTGTAACTTTTCGAGCAAGAAGGGAGCTCTGTTTACCTCTCTGTCGACAAGAACAAGAGTCCTTTCTCTCTTAGTCAGGGGCGAGAGATCCTGACCATCTCGTCCTGCTCTTCAACACATGGAAGAAAGCTTACGATCAAGAGG